AACGAATGTATTGTATAATTATCTCCTAATGGTTAAAACAATACATAAGGTTTATGAAAGGATTAGTAATGATTAAGATAGAACGTAAAGCCTAAGGATGTATCTTATCCGATCGATTTTGCGAATGATTTGATTTCAAGTAAATCACTAAATAAGTGGATGAAGTTTGGAATATAATTAGTTTCCTGTCGCTTCGAAGCACGGGTCAAAAAACTAGTAATAATTATGGGCCACATATTTTAAATATCCAATTGCAACCAATAGGTTTCGAACTTTCAGATAATTTGATGAGATTCCAAACATTGTCTTCCATAGACTTCATCACATGGCATCATTTCACTTTTCAGAATTAGATCGGTACATAACATGATTATAATAATCTAAATCATTAGTCAACCTGATGTCATACCTATTGTTTATTAGAAAAGCAACATTGAATATGAAGAGGTGAGGGAATATCATCTCTAGTTTCGACAAGAACTTCCATTGTCGTCATTATTTCTTGGGAGCTTATTAAACTTGGTATCAATACCATCGAGCTACATTGAACAAAAAGTCAAGCACTCACCAATTTTATATGCTTATGCTATAAGGAAGCCTCTGGATGAGCTTTATTACGAACATAAGACTTAAGAGTTCGCAAAAAACTTTCCAATGGGTACATCCATGTTGTTTGCAGTGGTCCAACAATCATAGCCTCCGTAGGCAAGTAAACACACAAATGAACTATGATGTCAAATAATGAAGGATGGAATATCATCTCTAATTTGCATAAGGTCATCACGATTTGACGTTCAAGGCGATCTAGATCATCAACACTCGGACATTTGCAGCACAATTCTTGAAAGAATGCACTTAATTCAATCAATGGTTCATATACTTTCTTTGGTAGATGCCGCCTAATTGCAAAAGGAAGAACTTGCCATATCTGAATGGCTATGGCCATAGGACCTCTGGGCCATCAGGGTAGTTGCAGCTTTGGCCAAATCTGTGGTGGAGATGAATCCAGCTTTATTTCGAAAATTCATGAGGCTGATTTGCTACATGCCAGAATGTTTGGGATGGGATTATGTGACTATGAGAAGTTGGGATCTTCTTCTGCCAATCTCCCTCATCTTCTTCCTATGTTTCTTTTCATTGATCAAATTGGGTAAATCCAATTAGAAAAAATGAAATTGTGAAAAAGCCAATCAGATCGAAAATAAGAATTTGCTAGTGAGTTTTTCATGGATTTTATTTTCCAATTCACCAAATTCAATGATGAGGAGTTCCCCAAATGTTTATAGACATATAAATCCTCACATATATTTGTTGCACTCAAGTTGAAATAGAAACCAGAGTTTATATATAGCACATAAACATTTATTTTCCGCCGTTTTCTTCGACTCGTAGAAGTAGTCGATACCTTATTTCTTTCTACTATAAAGCATAAACCCGACACTCCATGAAAACGAAAAACTCGATGCGTTTGCTATTTTTCTTTTTTCACAATTCATACTCTTTGATGTCTGGGGTTAAAACGCCATCGTCTCGTCAAGTGGAGTTTGGTATCGGCAAAACGTCGTCGCGGAGCAAATGTACCGTTGAAGATTTGAATCTGTTACACAATTCATACTCTTCATCAACAACTCTCAAACTGATACTCCACTGAAAGACGGCCTGCGACATCTTTACGGCCATCGATGTCGAGTTTGTTGAAGGTGTCCACGTCCAACTCCAGCCCCTCATTGTCACCTTCGCGAACAACACGTACCTTCACTTTATGATGAACTCCTCCGACACCAAGATTCGTTACCTAAGGCTCCCAGATATCGCAAGTTAACCACCCTATGATTGATTATTAGCAGGAAAAAGTGGAAATTGTGAATGAATGTTATTAATTACCTTCAAACATCGGCCGCAATAGGTAGTAGCATTTCCATTTCGAGGTGCTAAAGCAGCCCAAGGATACTTGTGAAGGGCAGACAAGGGCAGGCTCGAGAGGGAAGTTGCACAGGATGACGACGACGACGAAGAAGAAGATGCATTAATGGCGGCGGCTATGATCACATGATGATGGTCTATGGCGGAGCCAGAGGGGTTAGGTTATGTTATGGAGACAGATAAGTTTTGATAAAATGATAATAAATTCTCATATATGCATATGGAAAGGATTGAACTCACCGGTTCAAAGTGAACGTAAATGTATTTTGCAAATGTACCAAACCTCACTTATTGTTAATCGATTTATCATAAATTAATTTAGGGCTAGTTCCACTATAGGGAGTCCAAACTATTTAATATGAAATATCTGACACGAACTATTCTTTCGTTAATGTTGACCGGCGTTGGCCGTTAGTATTTAACATAAAATCTAGTAAGCATATATGTCGATTTATGCCAGATTTGTCATATTGAATAGTTTAGGGCACAAATGTCACAAAAACGCATGTAATTTGTACCAAATTTGTCATATTAAGTAGTTTAGAACACAAATTACACATTCCGAATAGTTTGGACTTCCTAGTGGAATTAGCCCATTAATTCATTACACTATAACTCATATCCTAAATCGGCATAATTTATATTTCCGAAAGAAAAAAAAGCGCACACACCTGATTTCAACTTCTGGCTCCGCGACTGATGATGATGATCGTTGTGGTGGTTTTCGACAGCGGTAACCACTACCGTTCCCGTCCCAGCTCCTCCGGAAGCAGGAGGCTGCGGCGTCGACGGTGATGGACAATAGTTGGTACAATGAAACCAGTCACAATACGAGTCGCCGTCGCCGCAGTAACCCCACCGACCACAGCAGCGTCCCTTGGACCGGTCGCACGCACCCCAAGCCCCGTCGCTGAGTTTGCCACAACGGTGGTCCCGCCGCTCCGTCGGAAAGGCCGACAACGATTGAGTAATCAGCTGGGCTGCCACTGGGACCAACAACAACAGTAGTACTAACAAACTCTCCATTAATTGTCTATTATTATTTCTTTTTTACGTGTCTGTGATTTGTATGAAATGGGAAGCAGCTTTCTAGACCGCATTTATATACGTAGAGTAATATCGATGGACCAGTTGGTGTTGTTTATTATTCTCCGGCTATTTGAGTTGGTAAGGCATCTGTGCCATTGGTGGTGACGGGATCCCTTTGTTTTCTTCGTCGTGTTCTTAACGTACGGCTCTTATTCTGTAGTTATGGGTGTGGGATATTCCCAAATTATAATTAGGGTGGATATATAGTATTATTAATAGTTAGAAGCATCCACCGAACTCGACCGTCGCGGCAGCCGGCCGACCAGACCATACCTAAACTTTTGGTAACTCCCGAATCCCCATCCAACATATTCCTTAGTGGAAGAGGAAAAGAAGAAGGAAAAGAAGAAAAAAAAAGTCTGGTCTTTTCGGGAATATAAGTACAAAGATTGAATTGGATACAGTCCGGTTTTGATCCAATCCGGTTTTGACCCGGTCTGGTCTTGATCTGGTCCGGTCGCAATTTGAACTTGATTTTAGATTGAGCTTGTCGGGATTTGAGTGTTGGAGTCTCTTGGTTTTTTACCTCAAATCTAAGCTCGAATATGAGATTGGATTGTTTGCTATCTGGTCTCAGTCTGGTCCCGGTCCGGTTTTGGGTAAAACTAAACAGTCCGGACCAAATAGAGAGCCTTATCCACTACATTGTTGCTGGTAGGAATTAGGCAAACCACCTCCAGGAGTCCCTTCAACCAAAGTCTGAAAGCAGCAACCTTTCTTACTTTTGTGTTTGTGTTTTTGGAGAAGGACAACGAGAAGAAGAAGATGAATGTTGGACGAGAAGTCGGACTGCCCCTAAGACCTCCCGCTCACTCAAATGCCTCAGTCTCTAGGACACCTCTCTTGATGCCCCAGCCTCTAAGACACCTCCAGCTCACTCAGAGGCCTAAGCCTCTAAGGCACCCTGCATTAGCCTCAATGAAACCCCAAGACATCAGATCAAGAAAGTGTCAGACTCCTATATATAGAGCTTCAATCCCTCCAAGCAAAGGATCTCTCTCTTCCCCACATTCACTACACATGGTTCTCTCTTTATATCTACTTTACATGCATTTTCCACTAAATCGTACTAATTTGGACGTCAGAGTGTAGATCACGGGAGCCACTCCTCTCATAGATTCCTCACCTCCCAAAAGATCTAACAAAAGAGTACAGATCAAAAACTCAAATAGTCATGGTTATCTGCCTAGTTGCATTTTAGGCTTAAATAGGTATACCTCCACAAATTCATATGATGACTATTATAGGTATACATGAGTTATTTAGGGGCAGCTCCCTATTGTACACGAGAAAATTAATTAAATAAAAACTTAAAACAAAACCCAGACGTTTCCAAAAGGTCATCAGTAACCTTGTGATGCATAATTATGCATAACCCAATCTCAGTGCCACATTAGCAGCCTTTAATCTTTTTCCCGCTAATTTTTAATGGACGATTTCTCTCTCATTTAAGTCGGATTTTAATTTTTTTGCACATATAGACCAAATTAATTATTTTCTTCAAAATGGTATCCACTTTGATATATTTTTGGAACAAAAAAATTTGAAGTATTTTTTACCAGTCCATACCATATGATATGTTCGAGTACCACAAGATACCAATCTCGATACCAGGGTGGTATAGTATGGTATTTTTTGGTCTTGTGCTTTTTTTCACCCAAAAATTTTTAGATCCAATTTATCATGATTAACTCATTCCTTCTGTGTAAATTTTTTGAAAATGACTTGAAACGAAGAAGATACCATATGGTATGGAGTTGGTAATGAGAAGTATGAAAGTTTTTGTTGAGGAAATGGAACAGCAAGCAGCCAAGACTTCGTATCGATTTTATATTCTCTTTTAAGTCAGAGAATATTAAATGGATAATAATTTCTCTTAGGGGTCGTTTGGATGGATCAATTTATAAATGAGTCAATTTGATCAATTGTCTCGTTTTATAAACGAGGCAATTAAAACGAGTCAATTCGAATGTACTTAGTGTGATTGGTTACGATTTTTGCTTTTCTTTAAAGTGGTCATGGTTCGAATCCTAGTAAGTGTCTTTTTAATGAATAAAAAAAAAGTAATAGACCAAAATGTACTTCCTACTTTCACTCTGGATGCAGGAAATTTGAAATGGGGTTTCAAATTTTCTCATTTGGCTTTTATTTATTGTGTAGATATATAAAAGGAAAAAAAAGGTGGTGATAAGTTATGTGCATATTTTTTGCTTGAGGTGGAATTTGTGCCTCAATATCCTCCACTTGTCATTCTTGTTCAGTCTTCAGCTAATCATTGCCGTTTATTGTAGGACTAATAAGTGGATCATCAATAGCCTCCAGTCGTCTTTTCTTGTTCATCAGTCTTCACAATTCTCGAACTGATACTTCAAGACAAGGTGATCACCATGATAGTCATCATCTTCACCCCCATTATTTCCATGGTCGTCGTAAGTCCGCAGCTTGTTGAAAGTTTCGCGATCCAATTCAAGACCTTCGACACTACGTTCGTGAACAACTCGCACCTTCGCTTCACCTCCAGTCTCGAGATTCGTCAACTACGTACATGCATGTACACAAATCCATGTATGCTTCACTGAACAAAATGTTAATTAATTAGTTAATACACATCGATCAAGTTCAGTTTACTACTTTACCTTGAGGCACTGTCCACAATAACTACTCCTGCTAGCAGTAGTAGTTGTCGCAGTAACAGTACGATTACGAGGTCGACGAAAAGCAGCCAAAGCATACTTGTTACGTCGCGCCGGTGGTATGCTAGAGAGTGAAGTTGCACACCACGACGACGACGAAGACGAGGAAGCGTTGACGAGTTTATCATCCTCCTCCCAGCCACTGATGATGATCGTCTTCTTCTTCTTCGTTCCGGCCGGATCGTAGTATTGATTGTACGTTGCATTCACTACATTCATCGTGGTACTGATGTTATGGAGCCGCTGCCCGCTGCTGCTCACTCCTCCATCCACGTCATGACATTGCATCCAACAGTTGGTGACGCAGTGGTAACGGTCGTTACCGCAGTAGCCAGTGTCGCTGCAGCAGCGGCCCGTGTCGCACCCAACATAACTTCCGTCTTGGTAATCGGAACCACAGATGCCGCCGGGGATCTCAATGAAAGCAACACATGGTTGAACTAGCAGCTGCAAGCACAATACTAGTATTGTAGTGAATAATGTTGTTGTAGAAGCGAACATCCCCACCAACAACACCATTATTTTCTGATTCTCTGTATCTGATGATTTGAAAAGTTGATCGATCAACTAATTATACTGATCACAGACGACGGAGAATGCAGCTAGCTAGCGTTATGAGATTGACGATGATCGATCGAGTCCGAAACGTTGAGGAAACCTGACGGTGGAGTGGAGTGAAATCGGCAATATTCCCTGAAAGAGCTGCGGAGTTATGGAGGTGGAGCAGAGGGCATTATAACGTACACAAGTTTGGATACGTAACGTAATGTGGTAAATGAGCTGTTAAATCAGACCGGCCGGCCGGCAACATTTTCGCTTTATTATTCCATTTTGCTTTCCTGGTCGAATTTTAGCTTATTCGGCAATCGTATCCACTTGGGAATCCACGATTATACCATTGCAGGCGGCTGAAGAAGCTGGTTGGAGCTTCTGCATCCAATTAAAGTTGGAGCTAAGAATTTTTTTTCGTTGAGTAGGAAACCTTTTGGAAAGATACAAAATGACGAAAGAACGGGAAATTGGTATTTCAATTTCGACTATCTTCGTTTTTATTATTATTTACTGATTGACTGACTTAAAAAAGAATATAAAATAGATACGAAGTCTTGACTGCTTGCGGTTCCATTTCCTCAACAGAAACTGTTGACGAGGGTATGCATTGTGAAGCTGGTGCTGGTGAAGAGTGCCTTCGTCTCAACAAAGATTGTGAAACCGTACTAAAAATTATGTTAGAAAGTAAGTGATATGATATTTAACACTAAAATCACACCTTGACCATTATTCAATCGTCAAAACTGCTTATCAATTTGAAATATTATATCCAATATTTTCTATTCGACCGACTAACGATTCGGTTTCTAGAATATTGGTCTCCCGACCTGTTGCTATGACTCAAGTTAGGGTGCATAACTAAATCTAGAACTTCATTTTTTAATGGGCCCATAAAATTCAGATATAAATATTAAATACTAGAAATTAAAGACATTTTATTTTTCCTAGTTTTATTAAAAGGCTCTTACCTTTTTCGTTCTAACTCGGATTTCAAATTTTTTTACACAGATGAAACGAGTTTGTTCTGCTCTACAAAATGAGATCGATTTTCAATATTTTTTGAGAAAAAAATTTCATAGCTCTCGTTACAAACTCCATACCATACGGTATCTTCTTAATTTTTAAGTCATTTTCGAAAAACTTTTCACAAAAAGAACGACTTCCTCATGATTTATTGGATCTAAAAAATTCTGGGTGAAAAAAATAGAGGACCAAAAAATATCACACAATACCACCCGAGGGGGGGGGGGGGTAGTATCGTACACAATGTTGAAAGTCGTAAATGACAGTTAGTATACTGTGCCACTATGGTACGTTGTTCATACCATATGATATGCTCTTATTTTAATACCAAACAAAACCACCATGATATAAACTAGTAAAAAATGCCCCAATTTTTTTCTTCGATACTGTCTTGAACAGGATCTGGCCTACTTCCTCCTCTTGTTTGACATTTTTAATTGAGAGTGGATGGTGTCGGTGGGGTTTTGAGTTTAGAGGAGATGGTGGTAATTGGTAATTGATTTCTTGATGGGGATTTGAGTTGGGAGGGATATAAGCAAAAGTAATTAATTGTGATGGGAATGGTTTTCATTGGAGTTGATTTTTGAAATCGGGGAATCTTTGAAGTTTTTGCAATCCTAGCGGCGACGGTGTTGACGATGATGATTCTTTGCTTTTTTTTTTTTTTTTGCTTCTTTCATTTGCAAGAACAAAACGTTGAAGGGTAAATGTGTATTTTTCTCCAAAAATCGTGTGTTGCTTTTTAATTTATAAAAGAGTAGAATCATATATAACAAACAATGTATTTAAGAAATACATTACTTTGCACACTACATATAGGTACAATACATCAATTCATTGAATCTATCAATATAGACAATCAGCCCTAAAAATGTTGAGTGTGAAATTTTAAATATCAAAACCCTTTTTGCGAAAATTTGATCTATGGCAGAATTGGGCCGTGGCCTGATTCTAGATAACAGAAAAGGACTGTGGGCTAAAAACTCACTAACGTGAACCGCTTCAGAATCAGAATTCAGAACCCTTCACTCACCCAGAAAAAGAAAACCGGAATGAAGATATTGGGTTCATGTTCGAGGCGCGCCACCGTACTATTTCACATTCAGGCGTCTCCCTCCATTTCCAACCTCCCATGAATTCTCTCCTCAGAATCCGCCGCTGGCCATTTCCTTCTGCTCTCACCTCCGCTTCTCGCCGACGACTCTCTTCGTCGACCGTCACTTGTATGTCTTCCTCTTCGACTCGCTCTGCTGCACCTCCTCTTCTGCTACTTCTTTTGCTTTTGCCACTCGAATTGGTCCTGTAAGTGTGGAGGAGAGAAGAGTTCGATGGTGAGCTCGTTGCCTTGTAATGTCTGCTGCAGGTCGTACGGAGGACGGGGCGCCGGTGGAAAGCCCTAGTTTCGTTCATCCTTGGGCGGTGGTCCATCCCAACGCATTGATTGGCGAGGTTTAATCTCTCCTCATTCCGCTTTCCTTTTTTCTCTTGCTCGTCGACTTTCAGAGCTATCGTTAAGAGTACGACCAATTTACTAATTGGCAGGGAGTTTCGATTGGTCCGTTTTGCACGGTTGGATCCTCCGCCAAGCTTGGCAATGGCTGCCAATTGCATCCCGGTAGCCATGTTTTTGGAGATACGGTGATTGGGAAGCGTTGTGTTTTGATGGCGTAAGTTGCACGAGATGCCCAAGATGCTGTTTCTCTTTTCTTTCTTTGAGATGGCTCTTTAATTAAGGCAGAGTTTTGATGGGGTAATTAATCATTGTGCAAATGTTGCAAAACTGTGTCAGGCAGTGGTGCTGTAGTTGGGGAGGATCTTCCTGGGAGGACCGTGCTTGGGGCAAATAACACTGTTGGTCATCATTCTGTAATCGGTGTCAAGTGCCAAGATATGAAATACAAGGTGAATTTTTCTCTGTTCGTTCAGCCCCCCTTTCTGCTCTTGAACAATGACAGTAGATGGTTGAATTGTTAGAGGTACTTAATAACATATTCAATGATCACTTCACAAGTTATATAAACGATTATGGCTTTCCACATAACATTGTATACATCTATGAATTTGGGTGTGGAGTTCTGTTCGCTCACTTTAAAGTATTGTTTCCTTCCTTTTTCTGTTAACTCAAGATGCATCTACAACATTGTCATCCTGGTTATTTTCGAATAGGTTTCTGCTGAACTGGGGTATACTTTAAATTCTGGTCCATGCAATTTTCCCTCTCTTTTCTTGCTCAAATTCTGCTCTTTACCGCTTGCCTTTATTCAAATTTGTTTTTCTCTTGCATCATTGCTAGCATAATTGAGTTCCATTGAAGAATAATATCTCGAATTATAGCTGTGTTGTTCGCTCTTGGCACAAATGTTGCTTGATCTCATGCACCTGAAGAAGTGAACCCTGGTCGCTGCTAAATTTATCATCTTTACCTTGTTTGTTTGTTATGGCACCTTTCCCCCCTTCACCATGCACATTGCCAGGCACATGATTGTATTAGGAGATGGTTTTTTCCATAAATAAATGAGGATTACTCCAGGAGATGGTTAGAGGCAATATACACATAATTATGTATGTTATTTCAGTGTGCTGCCCATCACAAGTCCAATTATCATCCTTCACAATTTTTAGTGCATAACGGGCCTTTGTAAGAGTGTAAGCTTTCACCAACTGTGGCATCTCCTTTCTTTCTCGTCATTAAATTTAGTCAGGGGAAGAATGCTTTCTTGAAATTGGAGACAACAATGAGATTAGAGAACATACATCGATCCACAGATCTTCAAAGTCAGATAATCAAACGGTATGAATGGTTAATTATTTTTCGTTTCTCTTACGTTGGTAAAGAGAAATTGTTTTATTTTTGCCTATTGAATGTATTGTGACTTAGAACGGTTGATACAGGTCATTGGTCACAACAATCTAATCATGGGGTCTTGTCACATTGCCCATGATTGCAACATTGGCAACCATAACATTTTTGCTAACAATACTCTTCTAGCTGGGCATGTTGTTGTGGAAGTAAGTTCCTTGCTCATCAGTTAGTCGCCCAATTATAATATTACTGTCAGACATGGTTCGATGTCTAATGATGAGTTGATTCAAGTGGTATAAATGTAGGATTATGCCCACACGGCTGGTGCGATCGTTGTTCATCAGTTTTGCCACATTGGTTCTTTCTCCTTTGTTGGTGGTGGATCAGTGGTAAGACCTTTAATCTTCTTTTAAGTTAGTATTTCATTGAGATTGATGTATATTCTTGATTTGTGGGGTGTGCCTGGTCTTGTGGATACTGCATACTGGTACACTGGGACATATTTTTGTTTCTTGCTGTTCACAATACCTGCCTTTCTGAGCATGATTGTTGTACAAATGTGGTTGTTTCGAGCAGCATCCCCACCTAATAAGTTGGTGAAAGAATTGTGTAGTAATGTGGCTTCATGTCTTTGGGGAAAAGGTGGTTATATTTGTAATATATGTATACTTTCAGGTTTCGCAAGATGTCCCAAAGTATACAATGGTGGCTGGAGAAAGGGCTGAACTTCGTGGTCTGAACTTGGAGGGACTTCGTCGCCGTGGATTCTCAGTCACAGAGGTTGGAAATGATTGGCCGTTTAATTGTTCTTTCTGACTCCTTATTCGATATTTTAAGTGGTTTCAGTTGGTTTGTATAATTGTATTTCCCCCCTTTCTAAAGCTTGTTACTCATATTTAGCTAGTTCGTGCAATCCAGAATAGGGAGAGTATATTGAGTCTTTTGATTGCTTTGGCGAAACCCATTCTTCAGTGGATTCTGATGCTAATTCCTGGCTCCTGGTTAGGAAAGTAGAACCCAACAACTACATTTCCGTTATGTTCTGGAATGACTGACAGTATCCCAAACAGAATCCTAGTTTCTCTTCATGTTATAGACGACCATAAGTGCATCATAATGCATACCAGAGCCACTGGGTTGCAATTTAGGTCCTGTAGCGCTAAGGGTTGCTAGTACTCATTCTATTCTGACGGTTCCGTCCATATTGATTGGGGTTGACCTCCTTACTTCTCATTTGTTAATTCGTCCATCAACTCCTACTTTTATCTTGCCGAAGTCAATTGTCTCATCTTGCTGCTTGTAGATTCCGCTGCATGTCTCATCTTCACGTTTCCATTTGCTTGCACTTGCCGCTTGTTTTGATTCACATTTGGACATGCGCAGCTGCGTATTTTGGGTTTGGGTCATCATCTTGATTGGAATCTGTTAATGTATCTTTTTTCTTTTGTAATAATACAGATTAAGAGCTTGAAAGCAGCTTATAGAAAGTTATTCATGCCTGTTGCTGCAAATGCTATGGGATTTGAAGAGCGACTTGCCATTCTGGTACTTTGTCTTGCTTATGTCCTTCGACCCGCCTAACACCCCTCTCAACTTCCTCTCAGTTCCTTCTAGTCCTTGCAGTGCACCTTTGGAGTAAAGACATGGGCATGTTCATTAACAAAGGCATATAAATTTTGCAGGACCGGGATGAAGAATTGAGTAAGGTCCCTGCTGTACACTCTATGGTACAGTCTCTGCGGGATTCTTTCCTAGAAACCCGCCGAGGAATATGCAAATTCAGACAGTGGAGTGGCTCCTAAACTAGAATTTTTATAGGTTAGTGCCATCTTTTCTTCTCGCATGTCATATACGATCGTGCTTCCTGCACCATATGGTCTTAATTTGCAGTAAGTGTATGCTTTACACACATTTCTTCTATCTGATTCGCTGCGTTATGCTGTCTAGGAATTCTTGTATCATGTCTTGAAGTACTTCCCTAAAGCACTTCATTGCTTCAGTTTTTGTACCATGGTGGCATGGAGACAAACCGGGGAGGCTGCAGACCCTGGAATTTCATATAGAAGCTCATAGAAACCTTTTGCAGCTGTGTGTCAAGTAATTTCTCAATCGCACTGGGTTATTCTTATAGCTGCCATACTTGTATCATACTGATTCCCATGTACTGTGAATTTCCTGAAAATGTGAGCTCTAGAACTAGAAAGTGATTGGTTATGGCTGCTTTAGACCTTCTTCTTCATCAATCCCAACTGCATCTCTTTCCTGCATCATCTCCCATTAGTGATTACTTCCCCTGGAAGAGGTTTATATTCCCCCATGACATAGCTGGAATATGCTTCTATGGCTGTTTGTCCTGTAGTTGCGATTTTTGTTTCTGTGGGTTGGAGTGTTCTGAATGGACGGTGGAGTGATTAGAAATGGTAATGGTCTTTTGGTTGGCTCTAATACATATAATAATAAGTTAATAACCAGATTTATTAACTACTTTTTGCTGGTTTCTGTTTGTTGAACTTTTGGTTAAGATTGAGGATGGCGGCACATTCTTGTCCTCAAGAAAAAAGGATTTTTCTGAAACATCCAATTTCTGTTTTGTTTTGTAGGATATCGATATAATTTTGTGGATATTATAAAACTTATTAGATGAAAATACAAGTCGTTTGGATATTATTTTTTTTAAATGACGCATTTTAGAGAGAAAAAAAAAAAGTCGAATCTCAATTGTCACAATCCCCCTAGCAATTTGAATTGCTACAAAATAGAACACTTTTTAATTTCCACATGCAAAAATGTAATTCTTTTACTATCAAACGAAACATTTCAGCCCAAATGTATGATTGTGAGAGACTGGGAGCAATTACACATATTGTCTCACTCAAATGTCTTGCTCAAACGATGGCCTGTGAAAAAAAAGAGGATTATGTAGGAGAAAAATATATAGATCCCATTTGATTTGAACCGTTAAATCTCCTTTAATTTTTAAAGAAAATTTATCACGAACAATAATTAATTTTAACATAACAAGTGGAGGTATATATATATAGCATGCCTGATTGGTAGAGAGAAATGACTATTTGTAGTAAAATACCACTCATAAATAAATTGGTTATAGGTATAATATGCCCCTCTACTATGTAGTTTTATCAAACATGTCCCTAGATTATTTTTTATATCAAACATGCCCTTGTACTTTGGAAAAATGATCAAACATGCCCTTCTGTTAAAATTTCAATTAAAAAACTCGCCAACCATGGTTGAACCGAGATGTAGATGACCCGACATCGGCAAATGAGAGCGAAAATGTCAGTTTTGTTCCCTATTTTATTTTTCTAGGTCTCGTTAAAGTGAAATTATTAGAGGTATTTGGCTCTACAAAAGAACCCAAAAAATTTTAAAGTGAAATTACCAAGGATATTTTAGACATTTGTGTAGCCCAAACCAATGTACGACCATGATTGACTGTTTTTGGATGAAAATATTAACAGAAGGGCATGCTTGATCATTTTTCTAAAGTAAAAGGGCATGTTTGATGTAAAAAATAGTAGAGGGGCATGTTTGATAAAACGACATAGTAGAGTGGTACAGTTCGATGTGGACTTGTACGAATGCCAGATTGTGGAACTGAAGTCGTCCTCGGCGTGCAGTGGTTCCGGCAACTAAGATATGCATGGATATATTGGGACAAGTCGATCGTGAGTTTCATGAATGAAGAGGTCGAGGTCAAGTTGCAGGGTTCTCCCATGAAGAGGGTTATGGACTTCGGAAGGGCCCACCGAGAACAGGACTGGTGGAATCACCAAGGAAACTCGGTGAAGACCACGTCACCGGCGACCATGGCCGCCAAGGAAGACTTCACTCTCTAGCGTCCATCAATGATCAACTCGTCAACGCTTCCTCCTCGTCGTCGTCTGCAACTTCACTCTCTAGCATACCACCGGCGCGACGTAACAAGTATGCTTTGGCTGCTTTTCGTCGACCTCGTAATCGTACTGTTACTGCGACAACTACTGCTAGCAGGACTTATTGTGGACAATGCCTCAAGGTACGTAAGTAGTAAATTGAACTTATTGATCGCGGTGTACATTTGACACGTATAAACGTTGATAACGATAAGTTTAATCGATAAAAATTGATCTAAAAACCATTAGTAATTCAATGTACATGTCATTTACATCCCACATCAGATCCACCAGCAACCCATTAACAATTGAAGTTAGGAACTGGTAACTAAAACATAAATAATGATAACAAAAGCGTTACTAATTTAACAATAAATTGTATGTTTTTTTATAGAAAATTGTTAATAATGTTAACAAAACCATTGCCAACTTATCAATAAAGCGTTACTAACTTAACAATAAAAGATTACGAACTCGTAACAAAAACGTTAATAATGTTAATATATAAAAGCATATTGGTAACCAAGAACACGACCATCTTTCTCAACGAGTCCAAAAAATCGACTACCAAACTCAAGACTGCTCTTCAGTGATGACGAATTGACGATGATAAGCTTCCTCGACGACCTTGCTTGACGAAGACACCGGCCGGAAAATGAAACGACAAGCAGCAGTGGCGGAAAAACCAACGACCTTCGTGGGTTGCCCTTCAGCTGCACCGTCGATGACAACCACTTGCGACATCGACGACGACCACATGTGGAGGACGGGAACGTGACGGCACAAAGGAAGGAGAAAGGGTGCAATTCTCGCTGGCGAAGACGACGAACGAGTGGGTGCTGGGAAGGGTGAGCCGAATTAAAAAAAACCCTCCCAATGGCCTTCTCTATTTTATATTAATTATTGTATTAGGTTGAATTTTAAATAAGTAAAATACATCATTTACCTAAATACCCTTAACTAACTACTAACTAATAACTCATCTTTAACTACCTAATATTCTAACAACCAATAGTATTGCTTTAAGCATATGCTTAAGCTTTTGGGCTTAAGTACAGGAACTTAGCCCGTCCAAACGTGGATCTCTCCTGGATCCACCAAACGAATCGCAAATTCTGAGGTCCACCGAATGTATCAAACTAAATACATGAATGATATATTTTTTAAGAAAGAATGAACTTTCCATGAAGAAAAGTAGTACTTTCTTAGAAAATTTATAAGATCAAAATAAAACTATTGTGACAATCGAAATCAAACTACAACAAAAGTATTGATTAAGTCTAATTCAATTTAATGCATTTCACTAAGATGTTTATCGATATTCGCGGCAAAGCGCGGGCCAATTATCTAGTATATAGAAGATACTAGAGGTAACTAGATACCTCTAGTGATTAAAACCGAGCTATAGAAGATTCGGGGCCCATACATAAACATTAGGCGGTAGGTAGCTTAGAGCAAAGAGGCCAGTCAAGTTGGTGGATCCTTCGATGTTAACTTGCCGCAATCGCTTCAAACCAGACAGTCCCTCTGGTAATGTTTCAAATGATGTGCAACTACGGAGAACTAGCCATTCCAAAGATTTCAAATCTGCAATGCCCTCAATCTCACGCAAATTTGAAGCACCGGTGACAGTTAACGCTTCCAACTTTTGCAGTTTTGACAGGGAAGGTAGTTTCTGTGTTGCCAAGCCACGCAACGTGAGTCTTGTCAACTCTTCCAAGGAATCGAGCCCCTCCAGCAGCAGTTCCTTGTCTACATCATCATCCTCCGTCTGCTCAATTTCCAACTCCAGAAGCCTCGGAAACTTAGACAGATGAAGCATCTGGCCGAAGCTAGTCTGCAGCAGCAATGCAGCTCCACCTATGGACAGTTTTCGTAATGAGTTAAGTACTAATCGGCTCGCGCCGCCGCCACCATCACCAAGATGCTGCTGGACATGGGATGATAGTGATGTGAGAAGAGGGCAACCCCATATCTGTAAAATCTGCAGCTTGTTAAAGGACATCAGAGTTCCAAGGCCTTCGAGGAGACTTAAGCTATCTTCACTCACAATACTGAGCACTTGCAATGATTCCAGGCCTTCAATGCCTTGGATTTCAACGAGACGAGGACATTCAAACGAATGAAATCTGCTTAAATTGCTCAAAGACGCGAGGCTGGGCAGCCTTCGCAACGCATGACAGCTTGAGATTTCCAACGTTTTCAAAGCCACAAGACAGTCAAGGCCTAGAAGATTACTCAAACTCACTCTATCTATGATCAGAATTTCCAAAGATTTTAACCCTCCTAAGCCTTGGATATCCTTGAGCGCTGGGCAGTCATGAATGGATAGCAAAGTCAAGTTTTCCAGATTCTCTAAATTCGGGAGCCAATCCAGCCCCCAATATTCACGGATATCCAGCCTGGTTAGACTTGAAGGAAGCAGCCCGAAAGGTCGAAGACTAATCGTCGTCATCGTCATCCTTGTTCCATAGAGTTCCATAGACTTCAACTTGGACAATTTCCACCACATGGTGTCTGCTGGGGGGATCTCAAGCCCATAGGAACAGTCTCTAACAACTAATGTCTCCATCTCGATCAGCTCGGAAAGGTTAGCAATGGGAGATGAAGTGATCAGCTCCTTCAAACTTGTGGGTAATCGAATCCCAGCCCGAGTTCCATGTGTCGCCACAATATCAGTGCCACTTGCTCTCAAGTGTTTAAGAGCCTGTAGTTCCCCAATGTCAGCAAGGGATTCTCCTAGATTCTCACAACGGAATTCTGTGATATCAAGCTCTCGCAGCTGTTTAAGCACCCTAATGGTTCCACCCGTTATCTTTCTTACTCCACCACCCTTCAGGAGCAGCACTTTCAGGTTGCTTAAATTCCCAAGATCTAGGTCCGCAGATCTCACCATGAGGCAACTGAGATTCAGTATCTCTAGACTGCCAGATGTTGGGAAGCAGGGAAGTCTCGTCATGTTATAACATTTAGCAAGATCTAGAACCTTCAGCTTTTCTGCCACCTGAAAAAAGAATGTACAGCTTATGGATGGCGGTGTTACGTTCTGTAAACAACTATTGTTTGAGTAATAGGATACAAATACAAACCTTGATGATATTGCTCCAACCTCCCCAATCATATGGAACATCGCTTGAATGGAGATCAAGAATTGTCAAATTCTCCATCTTCAAATTAGTCAGCTTATTATGACCCGCATTTCGGTGGTAGTGCAGACGAAACCATCTCATCTTTGGTAGAAGATTACTGAAATCTCCAATGAGCATTGTATATTCTGCGTCCAAATATCTCAACTCCGACAAATTTACGAAACAGTCGCTTGCCATCTCCTTCGCAACAAATGATCCTGAATTCACTCTGAGTGCCTGCACTTGGCTTGGTCCCTGTAAAAAGAGAAGTGGGTAAAATCAATCAATATACCATTCGTTTTAAAACTCGGAATTTAAAACATTTTGCATAGGAAGAACGCATTAATTATGATCACACAATGATATCCACTATGTTTGAGCAAAGAAAAAAATTAACTTTTCAAAACAAATTTTGTTTGTAGTATTATCATTCTCATATCTATCATGATGATATGACAGTGGTATGATAAATTGATGACTCATCTAATTAATTGTAACACATACTTTAAAAAATTTGTCCAGAAAGAATGTGTTACTGAAGATTTTTACAATGATGTTCATTTTGTTAACTATGTTAACATAAGACCTCATACCAATGTCGCATAGTGTCATACCAATATCATTTAGTGTCATATCATGATATTATCAAGATATGACCTTGATGGTGGCTTCTATCGTACCTTGAGTAAAATCTAAGATACGTCATACCCTGAGTAAGAAAACGCTATCTAAATCTCGAATTAATCGGATTTTTAGGCATGATACTATACACTATCTATTGATGAGTGAACCCTAGGTCTTAGTTATCTAAATCATAGAGTCTAACCCCTAAGATTGTGCATGTAATTTGTTGCACATATTTTGACGAATCATAACCCGTCAAGTTGATCTTAGAGTATCATATTTATAGAATTAAAATCGAGATTTTAATAAGTGTCAGATGCCAAACTCTAGCCAATTCAAAATCTAGATATAATTTTTTTAGTCTGAGAATCAACAATCTGACTCATCAGACAATCCTGCCCATCTTTCCTATCTATATATACTAGCTTCTAGTTTCGGCCAGTTGGCCTGAATTTTTATCATTTTTATTTTAAATAAATGATATGTTTGTTATAAATAAAATAATAAAAGACTGGTTAGATAGTTATTTTAATTTAGAGTTTTAACGACAGCTAGGTAACATATCAAAAAATTTCTAATTCGTAATTTTAAAAAATAATTTTACATGAAATTCAAAATTAATTGGGTGCACTAATCCTCCTATTATCTATATTTTCTTTTATGGTTCCTATTATCTATATTTAGTTATCCTGAAAGTTGAAAAAAAAAAACTGTAACTCTTGACAGACCTAATATAAAAGATAAAAAGACCAATGAAAAAGAGAAAAGGTTTTGAGAACTAATTGGCAGTTAGATCAATAAAGTGGGGAGAAATAATTTATACAAAATACAACCAAAAAAATGTGGAACATACCTTATCTCTACTTAGCAACTCCAATGCTTGTGGGTTTGACCATATTCTACTTCTTCTCAATGGATTTTCAATATTTTCTCGATGGACTATGTTTATACCGAGATCCCTAAGTTGATCATGCATTTGAAACTGATTGTCATCCCCAATTTCAATAAGCGACCGCTGAATAAGTATGATAATATTACTTATGGGGTAAAATCCACAATCATCCCACATGTAACTGGCCATATCTTTGTCCTCTCCAACGAGGAAACAAGCAATATCCAAAAAAATCTGCTTTGCCTGATAGTTTAATGAAGCGTAGCTGATCATTAATACCTCCAGAACCTCTTCCTCGAGTGCGTTTTGTTGAAACTGGGCTAGTTTTTCTTTCCAAAACCCTTTATCTTCCTTATATAAAAGTGATCCTACAACCTTGAGTGTGAGTGGAAGTCCTCCAGTGGCAGACACAACATCACTGCACAAGGTTTCGTAACCTGGCAGAGGAGAATCCATATTGAATGCATGCTTGTAGAAAAGCTGAAGTGAGTGAGTATGACTCATTCCACGAACTTTATAAAGCTTTTCATCTTCTGTGAAAGTTCTCAAAACTTTTACGTTTCTAGAAGTAATGATAAATCTGCTTCCAGTTGCGAAATTCTTGAAGTTTCCTAATATTTCGTCAAGTTTAGATTTCTCGTCCACATCATCGAGGATAATAAGCACTTTGAATCCAGACACTCTCTCACGTATGATTCTGATTCCGTCACTGACACTAGTAATAGGTTCGATGGCTGTCAGTCTCATAACGTCCGAAATTATTTTCTTCTGCAAACTAATAATGCCGTCCCTCTGCTCTAGTGTTTCTCGTACGTTGCCTACAAAGCTACAACGAGCAAAACCATCTGATATTCTGTTATAAACTGCCTTTGCAATGGTGGTTTTACCAATACCACCAATACCATGAATTCCAACCACTCCCACACTTGCAGAATCGAGTTCCATCCTTTCTCTTACTGCTTCTACATGATCATCTATTGCAACTAATTTGTCAGTCTCTACTACATATCTGCTCTTGCTTAGATGTGACCATACAATGCTAGAAACAAGATCCGCAATAGCTCCCTGCCTGAAAATTTTGGTATTTGAATATGTCAACCAAACTATATATGCGTGTGAATAGGGCATCATCAATTTTAACCGATTAGGTATATATTGACGTTGTAACTCGGGGTTTATTTTCAAGAAAATTATCGAGAAAATAAAAAAAAAGTGATATTTGGGCTACTTAAAAGAAATAAAATATTTAATTTGTAACGATAAGATAACAAAGAGGGGTGAGGAAGAGATGCATACTTACTTATCGTTGCTTTCGACATGCCATCCTTTCAGAGCTCCAACTTTACTCAGAGCATCTCTCCACTCCTGTACGGTACTCTTCTCATCAAAACTCCTCGCCCGCTTTCGAAATGCCTTCTTGAAAGGACCGGTTTGATGTCGTACGTCGCTGGGATTCACCATGTAAAAAATGGGGAGTATGATGCAACCCTCCTCGTGTTTTTGGCGTTCAACAATAGCGGCCAGCTCTCTGAGGCACCATTTGCTGTTGGCGTAGTCCTCCGAAAAAATCGGAACGTAAATCTTCGATTGCTCGATGGCCTCGACGAGGCTTGGCCATATCCCTTCCCCTTCCCGGAGATCCTCATCGTCTAAAAATGTTCGAATCCTCAAGCGAACCAGAAACCGATAGAGGATATCGGTGATCTGATAACGGGTGTCCGGACCTCTGAAGTTCAGAAACACCTCGTATTCTCCCGAAGGAAGAGGCAGCTGCCAAGTATCGGAATCCACGCCAATCGATGCATCCGAACCTCTCCTTCCCGATGGGTCAGCCGCGGTGGAAGCACCTTCTAAATAACTCATTGCTTCATAAAACACACACAGAAATTACAAACTTTTGTGTCAAGGGCTACGTACTAAGAAGAAATAAGATATCTCAAGGACTAATAATTAACATGCAGATTCAGAAGGGGAAAAAACCAAGGCTGGAACTGGAAATGGAAGAAATTGAAGCATGAAAATGTCAGCTTCTGGAGCAGAAATTGGTTGGAAGAAGGAAAGTGAGACAGCGAGGAGAGCCAAGACGACTTGAGAGACGACTGTGAAAAAGTGGAAGCTTAGCTTAATTAAGTAGCAGATCCATCGAGTAGTCTTTCTCAAAGAAACTGAGAACCGCGTCGGCGGTGTGAACAAGTGGTGGGAAATAATTGAAGGTATTATTAGAGTCTAGTCGTTGGATACTAGTGGAGGTAAAGAAAAGATGCAACTTGCAAGTAGTGTGAACGTGCTAAAGATTGCTACATATTTTTGGAGTATCCAGACTAATTTTATTGTAAGCCTTTTTTAAGTTGTACTTATGAACTTAAGTCATTTTTATCGCAAGATGAATTAATTTTTACTAATATTAATGGTATCATTTACCATTTCAACAATTTCCATTACCCTATGGTACTCTTCATTTATTATTTTAACCACACATTATAAAAGATTTATGTGGCAATGTTATAAATTTCACAATCTCATCAACTTACATTTCACATAAGTGTCGTAAATCAATCAACTTTACACAATAGTAATCAAATGTGATTGTTTTTATAACTTGATCTTATTATTAGACTAAAATTGTGAAGTATTTATGTAACATTATTACATCGTAAATTACGAATACATTAAGTAAAATTTATAAAAAAAGATAGTTATCTCTTATGGGGAATAATTATCTTTTAAGTATCAATTTTATTACGTAAGTCTTCCGTAATATAAGTTTCAATGAAAATTCATTTATTTATTTAATAAATTTATTATGGTAGTCTTTGATAATATGAATTTGAATGGGAATTCCTTTACTATCAATTAAGTTGTTGGGTTTCTTATCATTTATCAATTTGTATTACACAAATATTCTGTAATATAAGTTATATTTACCTAACAGTTTAATAAAATATTAACTATGTCATCAATTTGCCTTACACAAATATTGCGTGATGAGTTGACTTTTCCATGACAATTCAATCAAATATAATATTTTTATAACTTGATTTTATAATTAGACCACACATTGCGGAAGATTTTCGAAACAACATTCTATAAAAGTTATGTAAATTAACAAATACATTACATAAAACTCATGGTGGGATAGTTATTTTTATTTTTCAATTAAACGAATGTATTGTATAATTATCTCCTAATGGTTAAAACAATACATAAGGTTTATGAAAGGATTAGTAATGATTAAGATAGAACGTAAAGCCTAAGGATGTATCTTATCCGATCGATTTTGCGAATGATTTGATTTCAAGTAAATCACTAAATAAGTGGATGAAGTTTGGAATATAATTAGTTTCCTGTCGCTTCGAAGCACGGGTCAAAAAACTAGTAATAATTATGGGCCACATATTTTAAATATCCAATTGCAACCAATAGGTTTCGAACTTTCAGATAATTTGATGAGATTCCAAACATTGTCTTCCATAGACTTCATCACATGGCATCATTTCACTTTTCAGAATTAGATCGGTACATAACATGATTATAATAATCTAAATCATTAGTCAACCTGATGTCATACCTATTGTTTATTAGAAAAGCAACATTGAATATGAAGAGGTGAGGGAATATCATCTCTAGTTTCGACAAGAACTTCCATTGTCGTCATTATTTCTTGGGAGCTTATTAAACTTGGTATCAATACCATCGAGCTACATTGAACAAAAAGTCAAGCACTCACCAATTTTATATGCTTATGCTATAAGGAAGCCTCTGGATGAGCTTTATTACGAACATAAGACTTAAGAGTTCGCAAAAAACTTTCCAATGGGTACATCCATGTTGTTTGCAGTGGTCCAACAATCATAGCCTCCGTAGGCAAGTAAACACACAAATGAACTATGATGTCAAATAATGAAGGATGGAATATCATCTCTAATTTGCATAAGGTCATCACGATTTGACGTTCAAGGCGATCTAGATCATCAACACTCGGACATTTGCAGCACAATTCTTGAAAGAATGCACTTAATTCAATCAATGGTTCATATACTTTCTTTGGTAGATGCCGCCTAATTGCAAAAGGAAGAACTTGCCATATCTGAATGGCTATGGCCATAGGACCTCTGGGCCATCAGGGTAGTTGCAGCTTTGGCCAAATCTGTGGTGGAGATGAATCCAGCTTTATTTCGAAAATTCATGAGGCTGATTTGCTACATGCCAGAATGTTTGGGATGGGATTATGTGACTATGAGAAGTTGGGATCTTCTTCTGCCAATCTCCCTCATCTTCTTCCTATGTTTCTTTTCATTGATCAAATTGGGTAAATCCAATTAGAAAAAATGAAATTGTGAAAAAGCCAATCAGATCGAAAATAAGAATTTGCTAGTGAGTTTTTCATGGATTTTATTTTCCAATTCACCAAATTCAATGATGAGGAGTTCCCCAAATGTTTATAGACATATAAATCCTCACATATATTTGTTGCACTCAAGTTGAAATAGAAACCAGAGTTTATATATAGCACATAAACATTTATTTTCCGCCGTTTTCTTCGACTCGTAGAAGTAGTCGATACCTTATTTCTTTCTACTATAAAGCATAAACCCGACACTCCATGAAAACGAAAAACTCGATGCGTTTGCTATTTTTCTTTTTTCACAATTCATACTCTTTGATGTCTGGGGTTAAAACGCCATCGTCTCGTCAAGTGGAGTTTGGTATCGGCAAAACGTCGTCGCGGAGCAAATGTACCGTTGAAGATTTGAATCTGTTACACAATTCATACTCTTCATCAACAACTCTCAAACTGATACTCCACTGAAAGACGGCCTGCGACATCTTTACGGCCATCGATGTCGAGTTTGTTGAAGGTGTCCACGTCCAACTCCAGCCCCTCATTGTCACCTTCGCGAACAACACGTACCTTCACTTTATGATGAACTCCTCCGACACCAAGATTCGTTACCTAAGGCTCCCAGATATCGCAAGTTAACCACCCTATGATTGATTATTAGCAGGAAAAAGTGGAAATTGTGAATGAATGTTATTAATTACCTTCAAACATCGGCCGCAATAGGTAGTAGCATTTCCATTTCGAGGTGCTAAAGCAGCCCAAGGATACTTGTGAAGGGCAGACAAGGGCAGGCTCGAGAGGGAAGTTGCACAGGATGACGACGACGACGAAGAAGAAGATGCATTAATGGCGGCGGCTATGATCACATGATGATGGTCTATGGCGGAGCCAGAGGGGTTAGGTTATGTTATGGAGACAGATAAGTTTTGATAAAATGATAATAAATTCTCATATATGCATATGGAAAGGATTGAACTCACCGGTTCAAAGTGAACGTAAATGTATTTTGCAAATGTACCAAACCTCACTTATTGTTAATCGATTTATCATAAATTAATTTAGGGCTAGTTCCACTATAGGGAGTCCAAACTATTTAATATGAAATATCTGACACGAACTATTCTTTCGTTAATGTTGACCGGCGTTGGCCGTTAGTATTTAACATAAAATCTAGTAAGCATATATGTCGATTTATGCCAGATTTGTCATATTGAATAGTTTAGGGCACAAATGTCACAAAAACGCATGTAATTTGTACCAAATTTGTCATATTAAGTAGTTTAGAACACAAATTACACATTCCGAATAGTTTGGACTTCCTAGTGGAATTAGCCCATTAATTCATTACACTATAACTCATATCCTAAATCGGCATAATTTATATTTCCGAAAGAAAAAAAAGCGCACACACCTGATTTCAACTTCTGGCTCCGCGACTGATGATGATGATCGTTGTGGTGGTTTTCGACAGCGGTAACCACTACCGTTCCCGTCCCAGCTCCTCCGGAAGCAGGAGGCTGCGGCGTCGACGGTGATGGACAATAGTTGGTACAATGAAACCAGTCACAATACGAGTCGCCGTCGCCGCAGTAACCCCACCGACCACAGCAGCGTCCCTTGGACCGGTCGCACGCACCCCAAGCCCCGTCGCTGAGTTTGCCACAACGGTGGTCCCGCCGCTCCGTCGGAAAGGCCGACAACGATTGAGTAATCAGCTGGGCTGCCACTGGGACCAACAACAACAGTAGTACTAACAAACTCTCCATTAATTGTCTATTATTATTTCTTTTTTACGTGTCTGTGATTTGTATGAAATGGGAAGCAGCTTTCTAGACCGCATTTATATACGTAGAGTAATATCGATGGACCAGTTGGTGTTGTTTATTATTCTCCGGCTATTTGAGTTGGTAAGGCATCTGTGCCATTGGTGGTGACGGGATCCCTTTGTTTTCTTCGTCGTGTTCTTAACGTACGGCTCTTATTCTGTAGTTATGGGTGTGGGATATTCCCAAATTATAATTAGGGTGGATATATAGTATTATTAATAGTTAGAAGCATCCACCGAACTCGACCGTCGCGGCAGCCGGCCGACCAGACCATACCTAAACTTTTGGTAACTCCCGAATCCCCATCCAACATATTCCTTAGTGGAAGAGGAAAAGAAGAAGGAAAAGAAGAAAAAAAAAGTCTGGTCTTTTCGGGAATATAAGTACAAAGATTGAATTGGATACAGTCCGGTTTTGATCCAATCCGGTTTTGACCCGGTCTGGTCTTGATCTGGTCCGGTCGCAATTTGAACTTGATTTTAGATTGAGCTTGTCGGGATTTGAGTGTTGGAGTCTCTTGGTTTTTTACCTCAAATCTAAGCTCGAATATGAGATTGGATTGTTTGCTATCTGGTCTCAGTCTGGTCCCGGTCCGGTTTTGGGTAAAACTAAACAGTCCGGACCAAATAGAGAGCCTTATCCACTACATTGTTGCTGGTAGGAATTAGGCAAACCACCTCCAGGAGTCCCTTCAACCAAAGTCTGAAAGCAGCAACCTTTCTTACTTTTGTGTTTGTGTTTTTGGAGAAGGACAACGAGAAGAAGAAGATGAATGTTGGACGAGAAGTCGGACTGCCCCTAAGACCTCCCGCTCACTCAAATGCCTCAGTCTCTAGGACACCTCTCTTGATGCCCCAGCCTCTAAGACACCTCCAGCTCACTCAGAGGCCTAAGCCTCTAAGGCACCCTGCATTAGCCTCAATGAAACCCCAAGACATCAGATCAAGAAAGTGTCAGACTCCTATATATAGAGCTTCAATCCCTCCAAGCAAAGGATCTCTCTCTTCCCCACATTCACTACACATGGTTCTCTCTTTATATCTACTTTACATGCATTTTCCACTAAATCGTACTAATTTGGACGTCAGAGTGTAGATCACGGGAGCCACTCCTCTCATAGATTCCTCACCTCCCAAAAGATCTAACAAAAGAGTACAGATCAAAAACTCAAATAGTCATGGTTATCTGCCTAGTTGCATTTTAGGCTTAAATAGGTATACCTCCACAAATTCATATGATGACTATTATAGGTATACATGAGTTATTTAGGGGCAGCTCCCTATTGTACACGAGAAAATTAATTAAATAAAAACTTAAAACAAAACCCAGACGTTTCCAAAAGGTCATCAGTAACCTTGTGATGCATAATTATGCATAACCCAATCTCAGTGCCACATTAGCAGCCTTTAATCTTTTTCCCGCTAATTTTTAATGGACGATTTCTCTCTCATTTAAGTCGGATTTTAATTTTTTTGCACATATAGACCAAATTAATTATTTTCTTCAAAATGGTATCCACTTTGATATATTTTTGGAACAAAAAAATTTGAAGTATTTTTTACCAGTCCATACCATATGATATGTTCGAGTACCACAAGATACCAATCTCGATACCAGGGTGGTATAGTATGGTATTTTTTGGTCTTGTGCTTTTTTTCACCCAAAAATTTTTAGATCCAATTTATCATGATTAACTCATTCCTTCTGTGTAAATTTTTTGAAAATGACTTGAAACGAAGAAGATACCATATGGTATGGAGTTGGTAATGAGAAGTATGAAAGTTTTTGTTGAGGAAATGGAACAGCAAGCAGCCAAGACTTCGTATCGATTTTATATTCTCTTTTAAGTCAGAGAATATTAAATGGATAATAATTTCTCTTAGGGGTCGTTTGGATGGATCAATTTATAAATGAGTCAATTTGATCAATTGTCTCGTTTTATAAACGAGGCAATTAAAACGAGTCAATTCGAATGTACTTAGTGTGATTGGTTACGATTTTTGCTTTTCTTTAAAGTGGTCATGGTTCGAATCCTAGTAAGTGTCTTTTTAATGAATAAAAAAAAAGTAATAGACCAAAATGTACTTCCTACTTTCACTCTGGATGCAGGAAATTTGAAATGGGGTTTCAAATTTTCTCATTTGGCTTTTATTTATTGTGTAGATATATAAAAGGAAAAAAAAGGTGGTGATAAGTTATGTGCATATTTTTTGCTTGAGGTGGAATTTGTGCCTCAATATCCTCCACTTGTCATTCTTGTTCAGTCTTCAGCTAATCATTGCCGTTTATTGTAGGACTAATAAGTGGATCATCAATAGCCTCCAGTCGTCTTTTCTTGTTCATCAGTCTTCACAATTCTCGAACTGATACTTCAAGACAAGGTGATCACCATGATAGTCATCATCTTCACCCCCATTATTTCCATGGTCGTCGTAAGTCCGCAGCTTGTTGAAAGTTTCGCGATCCAATTCAAGACCTTCGACACTACGTTCGTGAACAACTCGCACCTTCGCTTCACCTCCAGTCTCGAGATTCGTCAACTACGTACATGCATGTACACAAATCCATGTATGCTTCACTGAACAAAATGTTAATTAATTAGTTAATACACATCGATCAAGTTCAGTTTACTACTTTACCTTGAGGCACTGTCCACAATAACTACTCCTGCTAGCAGTAGTAGTTGTCGCAGTAACAGTACGATTACGAGGTCGACGAAAAGCAGCCAAAGCATACTTGTTACGTCGCGCCGGTGGTATGCTAGAGAGTGAAGTTGCACACCACGACGACGACGAAGACGAGGAAGCGTTGACGAGTTTATCATCCTCCTCCCAGCCACTGATGATGATCGTCTTCTTCTTCTTCGTTCCGGCCGGATCGTAGTATTGATTGTACGTTGCATTCACTACATTCATCGTGGTACTGATGTTATGGAGCCGCTGCCCGCTGCTGCTCACTCCTCCATCCACGTCATGACATTGCATCCAACAGTTGGTGACGCAGTGGTAACGGTCGTTACCGCAGTAGCCAGTGTCGCTGCAGCAGCGGCCCGTGTCGCACCCAACATAACTTCCGTCTTGGTAATCGGAACCACAGATGCCGCCGGGGATCTCAATGAAAGCAACACATGGTTGAACTAGCAGCTGCAAGCACAATACTAGTATTGTAGTGAATAATGTTGTTGTAGAAGCGAACATCCCCACCAACAACACCATTATTTTCTGATTCTCTGTATCTGATGATTTGAAAAGTTGATCGATCAACTAATTATACTGATCACAGACGACGGAGAATGCAGCTAGCTAGCGTTATGAGATTGACGATGATCGATCGAGTCCGAAACGTTGAGGAAACCTGACGGTGGAGTGGAGTGAAATCGGCAATATTCCCTGAAAGAGCTGCGGAGTTATGGAGGTGGAGCAGAGGGCATTATAACGTACACAAGTTTGGATACGTAACGTAATGTGGTAAATGAGCTGTTAAATCAGACCGGCCGGCCGGCAACATTTTCGCTTTATTATTCCATTTTGCTTTCCTGGTCGAATTTTAGCTTATTCGGCAATCGTATCCACTTGGGAATCCACGATTATACCATTGCAGGCGGCTGAAGAAGCTGGTTGGAGCTTCTGCATCCAATTAAAGTTGGAGCTAAGAATTTTTTTTCGTTGAGTAGGAAACCTTTTGGAAAGATACAAAATGACGAAAGAACGGGAAATTGGTATTTCAATTTCGACTATCTTCGTTTTTATTATTATTTACTGATTGACTGACTTAAAAAAGAATATAAAATAGATACGAAGTCTTGACTGCTTGCGGTTCCATTTCCTCAACAGAAACTGTTGACGAGGGTATGCATTGTGAAGCTGGTGCTGGTGAAGAGTGCCTTCGTCTCAACAAAGATTGTGAAACCGTACTAAAAATTATGTTAGAAAGTAAGTGATATGATATTTAACACTAAAATCACACCTTGACCATTATTCAATCGTCAAAACTGCTTATCAATTTGAAATATTATATCCAATATTTTCTATTCGACCGACTAACGATTCGGTTTCTAGAATATTGGTCTCCCGACCTGTTGCTATGACTCAAGTTAGGGTGCATAACTAAATCTAGAACTTCATTTTTTAATGGGCCCATAAAATTCAGATATAAATATTAAATACTAGAAATTAAAGACATTTTATTTTTCCTAGTTTTATTAAAAGGCTCTTACCTTTTTCGTTCTAACTCGGATTTCAAATTTTTTTACACAGATGAAACGAGTTTGTTCTGCTCTACAAAATGAGATCGATTTTCAATATTTTTTGAGAAAAAAATTTCATAGCTCTCGTTACAAACTCCATACCATACGGTATCTTCTTAATTTTTAAGTCATTTTCGAAAAACTTTTCACAAAAAGAACGACTTCCTCATGATTTATTGGATCTAAAAAATTCTGGGTGAAAAAAATAGAGGACCAAAAAATATCACACAATACCACCCGAGGGGGGGGGGGGGGTAGTATCGTACACAATGTTGAAAGTCGTAAATGACAGTTAGTATACTGTGCCACTATGGTACGTTGTTCATACCATATGATATGCTCTTATTTTAATACCAAACAAAACCACCATGATATAAACTAGTAAAAAATGCCCCAATTTTTTTCTTCGATACTGTCTTGAACAGGATCTGGCCTACTTCCTCCTCTTGTTTGACATTTTTAATTGAGAGTGGATGGTGTCGGTGGGGTTTTGAGTTTAGAGGAGATGGTGGTAATTGGTAATTGATTTCTTGATGGGGATTTGAGTTGGGAGGGATATAAGCAAAAGTAATTAATTGTGATGGGAATGGTTTTCATTGGAGTTGATTTTTGAAATCGGGGAATCTTTGAAGTTTTTGCAATCCTAGCGGCGACGGTGTTGACGATGATGATTCTTTGCTTTTTTTTTTTTTTTTGCTTCTTTCATTTGCAAGAACAAAACGTTGAAGGGTAAATGTGTATTTTTCTCCAAAAATCGTGTGTTGCTTTTTAATTTATAAAAGAGTAGAATCATATATAACAAACAATGTATTTAAGAAATACATTACTTTGCACACTACATATAGGTACAATACATCAATTCATTGAATCTATCAATATAGACAATCAGCCCTAAAAATGTTGAGTGTGAAATTTTAAATATCAAAACCCTTTTTGCGAAAATTTGATCTATGGCAGAATTGGGCCGTGGCCTGATTCTAGATAACAGAAAAGGACTGTGGGCTAAAAACTCACTAACGTGAACCGCTTCAGAATCAGAATTCAGAACCCTTCACTCACCCAGAAAAAGAAAACCGGAATGAAGATATTGGGTTCATGTTCGAGGCGCGCCACCGTACTATTTCACATTCAGGCGTCTCCCTCCATTTCCAACCTCCCATGAATTCTCTCCTCAGAATCCGCCGCTGGCCATTTCCTTCTGCTCTCACCTCCGCTTCTCGCCGACGACTCTCTTCGTCGACCGTCACTTGTATGTCTTCCTCTTCGACTCGCTCTGCTGCACCTCCTCTTCTGCTACTTCTTTTGCTTTTGCCACTCGAATTGGTCCTGTAAGTGTGGAGGAGAGAAGAGTTCGATGGTGAGCTCGTTGCCTTGTAATGTCTGCTGCAGGTCGTACGGAGGACGGGGCGCCGGTGGAAAGCCCTAGTTTCGTTCATCCTTGGGCGGTGGTCCATCCCAACGCATTGATTGGCGAGGTTTAATCTCTCCTCATTCCGCTTTCCTTTTTTCTCTTGCTCGTCGACTTTCAGAGCTATCGTTAAGAGTACGACCAATTTACTAATTGGCAGGGAGTTTCGATTGGTCCGTTTTGCACGGTTGGATCCTCCGCCAAGCTTGGCAATGGCTGCCAATTGCATCCCGGTAGCCATGTTTTTGGAGATACGGTGATTGGGAAGCGTTGTGTTTTGATGGCGTAAGTTGCACGAGATGCCCAAGATGCTGTTTCTCTTTTCTTTCTTTGAGATGGCTCTTTAATTAAGGCAGAGTTTTGATGGGGTAATTAATCATTGTGCAAATGTTGCAAAACTGTGTCAGGCAGTGGTGCTGTAGTTGGGGAGGATCTTCCTGGGAGGACCGTGCTTGGGGCAAATAACACTGTTGGTCATCATTCTGTAATCGGTGTCAAGTGCCAAGATATGAAATACAAGGTGAATTTTTCTCTGTTCGTTCAGCCCCCCTTTCTGCTCTTGAACAATGACAGTAGATGGTTGAATTGTTAGAGGTACTTAATAACATATTCAATGATCACTTCACAAGTTATATAAACGATTATGGCTTTCCACATAACATTGTATACATCTATGAATTTGGGTGTGGAGTTCTGTTCGCTCACTTTAAAGTATTGTTTCCTTCCTTTTTCTGTTAACTCAAGATGCATCTACAACATTGTCATCCTGGTTATTTTCGAATAGGTTTCTGCTGAACTGGGGTATACTTTAAATTCTGGTCCATGCAATTTTCCCTCTCTTTTCTTGCTCAAATTCTGCTCTTTACCGCTTGCCTTTATTCAAATTTGTTTTTCTCTTGCATCATTGCTAGCATAATTGAGTTCCATTGAAGAATAATATCTCGAATTATAGCTGTGTTGTTCGCTCTTGGCACAAATGTTGCTTGATCTCATGCACCTGAAGAAGTGAACCCTGGTCGCTGCTAAATTTATCATCTTTACCTTGTTTGTTTGTTATGGCACCTTTCCCCCCTTCACCATGCACATTGCCAGGCACATGATTGTATTAGGAGATGGTTTTTTCCATAAATAAATGAGGATTACTCCAGGAGATGGTTAGAGGCAATATACACATAATTATGTATGTTATTTCAGTGTGCTGCCCATCACAAGTCCAATTATCATCCTTCACAATTTTTAGTGCATAACGGGCCTTTGTAAGAGTGTAAGCTTTCACCAACTGTGGCATCTCCTTTCTTTCTCGTCATTAAATTTAGTCAGGGGAAGAATGCTTTCTTGAAATTGGAGACAACAATGAGATTAGAGAACATACATCGATCCACAGATCTTCAAAGTCAGATAATCAAACGGTATGAATGGTTAATTATTTTTCGTTTCTCTTACGTTGGTAAAGAGAAATTGTTTTATTTTTGCCTATTGAATGTATTGTGACTTAGAACGGTTGATACAGGTCATTGGTCACAACAATCTAATCATGGGGTCTTGTCACATTGCCCATGATTGCAACATTGGCAACCATAACATTTTTGCTAACAATACTCTTCTAGCTGGGCATGTTGTTGTGGAAGTAAGTTCCTTGCTCATCAGTTAGTCGCCCAATTATAATATTACTGTCAGACATGGTTCGATGTCTAATGATGAGTTGATTCAAGTGGTATAAATGTAGGATTATGCCCACACGGCTGGTGCGATCGTTGTTCATCAGTTTTGCCACATTGGTTCTTTCTCCTTTGTTGGTGGTGGATCAGTGGTAAGACCTTTAATCTTCTTTTAAGTTAGTATTTCATTGAGATTGATGTATATTCTTGATTTGTGGGGTGTGCCTGGTCTTGTGGATACTGCATACTGGTACACTGGGACATATTTTTGTTTCTTGCTGTTCACAATACCTGCCTTTCTGAGCATGATTGTTGTACAAATGTGGTTGTTTCGAGCAGCATCCCCACCTAATAAGTTGGTGAAAGAATTGTGTAGTAATGTGGCTTCATGTCTTTGGGGAAAAGGTGGTTATATTTGTAATATATGTATACTTTCAGGTTTCGCAAGATGTCCCAAAGTATACAATGGTGGCTGGAGAAAGGGCTGAACTTCGTGGTCTGAACTTGGAGGGACTTCGTCGCCGTGGATTCTCAGTCACAGAGGTTGGAAATGATTGGCCGTTTAATTGTTCTTTCTGACTCCTTATTCGATATTTTAAGTGGTTTCAGTTGGTTTGTATAATTGTATTTCCCCCCTTTCTAAAGCTTGTTACTCATATTTAGCTAGTTCGTGCAATCCAGAATAGGGAGAGTATATTGAGTCTTTTGATTGCTTTGGCGAAACCCATTCTTCAGTGGATTCTGATGCTAATTCCTGGCTCCTGGTTAGGAAAGTAGAACCCAACAACTACATTTCCGTTATGTTCTGGAATGACTGACAGTATCCCAAACAGAATCCTAGTTTCTCTTCATGTTATAGACGACCATAAGTGCATCATAATGCATACCAGAGCCACTGGGTTGCAATTTAGGTCCTGTAGCGCTAAGGGTTGCTAGTACTCATTCTATTCTGACGGTTCCGTCCATATTGATTGGGGTTGACCTCCTTACTTCTCATTTGTTAATTCGTCCATCAACTCCTACTTTTATCTTGCCGAAGTCAATTGTCTCATCTTGCTGCTTGTAGATTCCGCTGCATGTCTCATCTTCACGTTTCCATTTGCTTGCACTTGCCGCTTGTTTTGATTCACATTTGGACATGCGCAGCTGCGTATTTTGGGTTTGGGTCATCATCTTGATTGGAATCTGTTAATGTATCTTTTTTCTTTTGTAATAATACAGATTAAGAGCTTGAAAGCAGCTTATAGAAAGTTATTCATGCCTGTTGCTGCAAATGCTATGGGATTTGAAGAGCGACTTGCCATTCTGGTACTTTGTCTTGCTTATGTCCTTCGACCCGCCTAACACCCCTCTCAACTTCCTCTCAGTTCCTTCTAGTCCTTGCAGTGCACCTTTGGAGTAAAGACATGGGCATGTTCATTAACAAAGGCATATAAATTTTGCAGGACCGGGATGAAGAATTGAGTAAGGTCCCTGCTGTACACTCTATGGTACAGTCTCTGCGGGATTCTTTCCTAGAAACCCGCCGAGGAATATGCAAATTCAGACAGTGGAGTGGCTCCTAAACTAGAATTTTTATAGGTTAGTGCCATCTTTTCTTCTCGCATGTCATATACGATCGTGCTTCCTGCACCATATGGTCTTAATTTGCAGTAAGTGTATGCTTTACACACATTTCTTCTATCTGATTCGCTGCGTTATGCTGTCTAGGAATTCTTGTATCATGTCTTGAAGTACTTCCCTAAAGCACTTCATTGCTTCAGTTTTTGTACCATGGTGGCATGGAGACAAACCGGGGAGGCTGCAGACCCTGGAATTTCATATAGAAGCTCATAGAAACCTTTTGCAGCTGTGTGTCAAGTAATTTCTCAATCGCACTGGGTTATTCTTATAGCTGCCATACTTGTATCATACTGATTCCCATGTACTGTGAATTTCCTGAAAATGTGAGCTCTAGAACTAGAAAGTGATTGGTTATGGCTGCTTTAGACCTTCTTCTTCATCAATCCCAACTGCATCTCTTTCCTGCATCATCTCCCATTAGTGATTACTTCCCCTGGAAGAGGTTTATATTCCCCCATGACATAGCTGGAATATGCTTCTATGGCTGTTTGTCCTGTAGTTGCGATTTTTGTTTCTGTGGGTTGGAGTGTTCTGAATGGACGGTGGAGTGATTAGAAATGGTAATGGTCTTTTGGTTGGCTCTAATACATATAATAATAAGTTAATAACCAGATTTATTAACTACTTTTTGCTGGTTTCTGTTTGTTGAACTTTTGGTTAAGATTGAGGATGGCGGCACATTCTTGTCCTCAAGAAAAAAGGATTTTTCTGAAACATCCAATTTCTGTTTTGTTTTGTAGGATATCGATATAATTTTGTGGATATTATAAAACTTATTAGATGAAAATACAAGTCGTTTGGATATTATTTTTTTTAAATGACGCATTTTAGAGAGAAAAAAAAAAAGTCGAATCTCAATTGTCACAATCCCCCTAGCAATTTGAATTGCTACAAAATAGAACACTTTTTAATTTCCACATGCAAAAATGTAATTCTTTTACTATCAAACGAAACATTTCAGCCCAAATGTATGATTGTGAGAGACTGGGAGCAATTACACATATTGTCTCACTCAAATGTCTTGCTCAAACGATGGCCTGTGAAAAAAAAGAGGATTATGTAGGAGAAAAATATATAGATCCCATTTGATTTGAACCGTTAAATCTCCTTTAATTTTTAAAGAAAATTTATCACGAACAATAATTAATTTTAACATAACAAGTGGAGGTATATATATATAGCATGCCTGATTGGTAGAGAGAAATGACTATTTGTAGTAAAATACCACTCATAAATAAATTGGTTATAGGTATAATATGCCCCTCTACTATGTAGTTTTATCAAACATGTCCCTAGATTATTTTTTATATCAAACATGCCCTTGTACTTTGGAAAAATGATCAAACATGCCCTTCTGTTAAAATTTCAATTAAAAAACTCGCCAACCATGGTTGAACCGAGATGTAGATGACCCGACATCGGCAAATGAGAGCGAAAATGTCAGTTTTGTTCCCTATTTTATTTTTCTAGGTCTCGTTAAAGTGAAATTATTAGAGGTATTTGGCTCTACAAAAGAACCCAAAAAATTTTAAAGTGAAATTACCAAGGATATTTTAGACATTTGTGTAGCCCAAACCAATGTACGACCATGATTGACTGTTTTTGGATGAAAATATTAACAGAAGGGCATGCTTGATCATTTTTCTAAAGTAAAAGGGCATGTTTGATGTAAAAAATAGTAGAGGGGCATGTTTGATAAAACGACATAGTAGAGTGGCATATTATATCTATAACCCTAAATAAATTCCTCAAGCCTAATGAGATCCGACGACACGCTACTTAAGGTTCCTCTTTTGAGTTTTTAATTGTTAATCAAATCACTTTGTTTGCTTACAACTTCCTCCACCAAGTTGATCTACATGTATTTTTACATATACAAAGCAAAACATACCAAATCATAACAAAACAACTTTTTCTTAAAAAAGATAACAACCATAATTAATGATTAAGATAGTGATGATCATGATCATGATTCATGATAATGACAATAAAGGCAGCAAGGCCCAATCCATTTCGGGAAGATATTACTTTTTACCAATCCAAAATCATATTATATATTTAATGCTAGTTGTAACTTTAGCTCATGAACTATTCGAATCTCTATCGCTGAAGTTGCTCAACTAATTATTTTACTATGGTCCTCCTTTAGTTTACGAGAGTTTTTTTTTAGTTTAGTGTTAAGATAGATCCTCATTGTTGACTTAGTACTTGAGGTAATATCGAACCTTTCATAAAATGAATCTGTAAGGACAAATTTATCCATTCTAATTGTTTTGCTTTGATCAATAAGATAGTTAAACGAGTCGTCTGAATTTTTTTGTTTTTGTTTGATCTTATTGGTTTATGAAGTTGGAGTACAAGTAGAAATAAAGTTAGAAAACAAACCGATTGATTGATGAAATAGTAGGTTTACAAGTGACTAGAAAAATGTTACAATTTTTGTCTTTTCCAATTGGGGACATGACGTACTTAACTTATGATCAAACACCATGGGGATTCATTGGGTGACCATATTTTTTCTCCTTAATGCCAAAAATGGAGGGTCCCATTAGACTTTTTTAAAACATGGTGAGTGTATACTGTACACAATATATATGGTGACTATTTCGGTGCACTCACAAAAATGAGTGCGTTCAATGCACCCAACTCAAAAACTAGTTTTAAAGTGTCGAATTTTGAATTTTAAGATGTAGAATTAGTGTAATATGATGATATAACATATGATAACAACTAATTAGTGGATAACCCTAAGCCCTAGACCTCCAATTTTGAGTTCTATCCGTAAACCCCAAATTATAAACCCTAACCCTAATCCTAAATCTCTAAACTCTAATCCTTCAAATTAAAGTAAATCTTTAATGGTTTTTTGTGCAAATTCATGTGCGTCATTGTTCATCACATCATAAGTGATTATTGACATCATTTTGATATAAATCGCATGTTTAAAATGACGGTTATGAAGCTAGTGCACTGAATGCACCCAAAAAAGTTAGTGCACCGAATACGTCACCATGTATACATATATATATATATAATCCACACATAATAAAGATAAGGGAGGAGATATGAGATAAGCCATGTTGTGTTGTTTATATAAACCAACCCAATTGGGCAAGTCACAAATCCACACTATAAATAAAACAATAATTCAATAATAAATATATAAACCCAAAGCCATCACATCCAATCACATTTTTTCCCCATTTCATGAGTACCAATCACATTTGCCCTAGGTGTGTCACCACCCATTTTCCCCAATATCACAATCAACCAAAAAAAACAAGTTCATCCATTCATATATACCCACCAAAAACCTTTCATATCTTATCATTAATTTCTCCCCTCTCATTCTTCTTCTTCTTCATCTATTCATCTTCTTCCCACAGACAACTCAATCATTTGCAGCAACTGATTTTCACAACCAACAAAGATGGGGAGGAAGTGCTCACATTGTGGGAACATTGGCCACAACTCAAGAACCTGCAACACTTTCAGGCCACCTCCTCCTTCTTCTTCTTCTTCATCTCCTTCTCCTTCTTCTGGACTTAGGCTTTTCGGTGTCCAACTCGACATGATTGTGCCTTCTCTTCCATCTACCACCACCACAACTACAACTTCTCCATGTTCTTCTGGCTCTCCTTCTTCTTCATCTTCTTCCCCTCCTTCCTCTGCTTCTAATTTTGCCAACATCAGAAAGAGCTTCAGCATGGATTGCTTGTCTTCTTCTACTTCCTCCTCCTCTAACTACAACAACAACACCATTCCTTACCACCATCACCACAACAACAAAACTTCCATGGGTTATCTCTCTGATGGCTTGGAAATGGGCAGAGTCCCACTTGACAAAAAGAAAGGTATAATAATTAATTACTATTCCAATTGAGTATATATATATTTGGTTCATTCATTTATGTTAAATTGATGTATTTTGGTTATAACTTGAATGTGATTGCAGGAGTGCCATGGACAGAGGAAGAGCACAGAAAATTCCTTCTTGGGTTGGAGAAGCTAGGGAAGGGAGATTGGAGAGGCATCTCTAGAAACTTTGTCACAACCAGAACTCCAACACAGGTTGCTAGCCATGCTCAGAAGTACTTCCTTCGACAAGCCTCCCTCCACAAGAAGAAGAGGCGCTCCAGCCTCTTCGATCTCGTACGTTCTAATAACTTCGTATTATTAATCATTCTGTGTAATACTCAATCGTTCTGCACTTACTGATTCTTGACATGGTATCTGACGATTTAATTAAAATTTTCCCTTTTGTTAGATTGGCAACGGGGCTGGTGGCAGTAGCAGTCATCAAGACAGTTGTATGAACATTGACAGCCAAGAGGGAAGAGGATCCCAAAATCAAGTTTACACCATCAGTCATTACAAGGCAGCCCTTCTGAAGAGCTCCTATGAGCAGCATGTCCCAGAAGCAACAGCTGGTTACGGACATCGTAACAACTCGTTAGAAGTCGTCAATGAATCAAACATTCTTCCAGCAGCCGAGGAGCGACTGCTGGAATTATCTTTAGCGGGTCCATCATCGACGACTCCAGCTCGAGAGTCGTCGAAAAATTCGACTTCCCAAACTGGCCTTCTCATCAAGGTCACTTGAAGAAAAGTGAAGTTCAAGTTAATTAACTTATGTTTTTGTTTTTTTTTTTAATTTCTACTCTGTTCTTTCTCCTCTCTCTCTCTCTCTACCTCTCTCACAGTAGTTAGTACAAGTCTCTGTAGTACACATACCCCTCAACTGTATCATCTCTTGGAAATTAATATATTGTAGTATATGTGTTAGCTAGATTCAATGAAATGAAGGAATCTTTTTGCCCAAATCACTAAAAAAAATAAATGGTGAAATAAATTATTTATGTGATGACTCACTCTCAGAACAAGAACCAATGGAATCTCATACTTGACACCTACCCATTGGCTGAAATGAAACTAATATAAG